TCATTACATATGGATTTTATGAAAAGAATAGTGACGTATTTGGCAGAGAAAACAAATTTGAGGCCTTTTTTTCTTAGGGGTTTTTTGGAAGTTCCTCTTTTTTTCGTCTTGCCAGAAAAGAAACAGGTTCTAGGCATACTTTTTTAAATTTCTGATATCCAGATTATTATATATGCATTTTATTAAAATAATTGTACGGTATGTTTCATCCGGCACATAAAAATGATTTGAGGTCTGTTTTTTCCAAGGTTTTTTTTGCAAGGTACTCTTTTTCGGTTTTTTTTCAGAAAAGAAACATGTTCTGGCCAATCTTATTTTTTTCGTTTCTGAAATCTCGATCATTATTTATGGATTTTATGAAAAGGGTATTACGGTATGTTTCATTTGTCAGAGAAAAGTGGGAGGTATGTTTTTGCATCTCCTTTTGTGATCAATGAATCATGAAATCATTGATAACCACCGCCTCTTTTTTCCGCCTTTTGCGAAACACATCTTTCACTGATTTTTTTTTCTGTCCTGTAATAAAGAGATAGTAACAGATTTGACATTTTTTTTTCATTGCTGATATCCTGGTCCTTATTCATGGAATTGGTGAAAATAGTATTTTTCTTCGTTGGACAGATGACAATTTTTCCAAGGTATAATTTTGTGCTCCTTTTTTTAATCAATCAATCATAAAATAAATGATAATTCCAGCCTCTTTTTTTGTATTTTTGGGGGAAAATGCGCCGCATATAAAATAGAAAGAAACCGGTTCTGGCAAATTTTTTTCTATTGCTGATGATTATCTATATGGATATTGCGAAAAGAATATTTTTTGGCAAAGGCGAATAATTTAAGGTCCATTTTTTGTGCTCCTTTTTTAAATAAATCAATTATAAAATCAATGCTAATCCCAGCCTCTTTTTCCATCTAGCCAGAAACAAAACATACGCTGAAGCTTCTTGCTGTTTTGTAAAATAGAAATAAACAGGTTCTAGCCATTTATTTCTATTGCTGATATCGAGGTCATTATTTACGAATTTTGTGAAAAGAATATTTTGTTTCATTTGGCGAAGGAAACATTTTAAGTTAAATTTTTGTCCTCCTTTTGTTATCAATCACGCATGAAAATCTGCATTTGTTTTATTTCATGTTTTTTTCTAATATGTTCGTTAGTTGGAAATTCTATTCTGGTTCTTCAAAAAGTTGGAAGAAGAATACAAAAATGTTAGCATTTTTTCTAGATGAAATTGAGACCGAAAAAAAGCGATTCAGCAACTTTGTCCGGGAGGATATAAAATGTGTGTTGCTTGTTCTAAAAAAAAATTTAATAATATAAACACTGCTTTAAAAATTTTTTCTTATTCCGAAAGTTCATTTTGCACTTTCAAGTCATGATATAGTCAACCTTGAAGAAATATATCGGTTACACGAACACTTGTCGCATTGACCTTCCGTTAAACGACCCTAAGTCAGTAAATATAATCAACTTTTTGAAAATGGCCGTGACTGAAAAGTCTTGGGATTGTTGGCTCAACGTTTACCGCAGCGAATTGCCATAATTTTCTCTGTGCTAATCGAAGGAGAAAATGAAAATCCCGGCGATTATATGCAAATGACATTGGCACTTGAGCTCTTGCTGCTCGACTCCGCATGAAATATTTTGCTTCCGCGAATAATTGATGCAGAAAATTATGCAAAGAAGGAACTTGTGCAGTCTCTCCTTTTTCAGGAATTTTGTAGTCCTGAATTTTAAAACGTATTCGATGTGTTGAGTGACATTATAATATAGCAGATCCACTATAAATGAATCACGATGATCAAATTTCATACTTTTTAATTTGATATCTAATTATTTCAGCAAAAAGTATTTTGGCTGTTGTAGGAAGGAATAATAATCGATGGAATCTGAATATTCAACTTTCATTCGTCGTCCACTGACAAAAATAAGTTTGAATGCAATGCAATTTTTCGAGACTTGAAAGGGAATTTCTTATATCTTTTCTTTCTCCTAATATTTGAAAGAAAGCTATTTTTCAACACCAAAAACCAACGGCGATTGAGGGAAAAACTTTGGTGACAAACCTTAGGAGATATGCATCATGCATTTGTTTTTTTGAGTCAAAAGCGAAATCAGTTGAGCTGATTTCTGCAGTTGAAATTTTTATCAGTAGCTTTCAATACTCAGGATGTTTCGCAATTCTTTTTTTTAAGTAAATTTGATCAGAAGTTAATTTCTTGTGAGTTACAAAGCCATTTTTGATTCAGAAAATCTCCCTGCAAATTTTTCTTCGGGATTGAAGGAATAAAACAATCACTTGTCTTTAATTTTCACGCATTTTCCGAAATTTTAATTAGTAAAAATCTGTATTCGCTGTGGATTTTGATTCAAAAGAGGAGTTCGGAAAACATTTTTTTTACCAATATAAATTCGGTATGCCAAAAAAAAAAGGTTCCAAATTTTTTGATTTTGATAAGGAGGAGTTCGGGAACATTTTTTTTTACCAATATAAGTTCGGTATGCCAAGAAAAGGTTCAGAATTTTTAGATTTTGATAAAAAAAAGAGTTATTCGGAAACCTTTTTTACCAATATAAATTCGGTACGCCAAAAAAGAAAACGTTCAGAATTTTTGGATTTTGATAAGGAGGAACGAGTTCGGAAACCTTTTTTTTTAACAATTTAAGTTCGGTATGCCAAGAAAAGATTCAGAATTTTTAGATTTTGATTAAAAAAAGAGTTATTCGGAAACATTTTTTTACCAATATAAATTCGGTACGGCAAAAAAATAAAACGTTCAGAATTTTTGGATTTTCATAAGGAGGAGTTCGGAAACCATTTTTTCACCAATCTAAGTTCGATATGCCAAAAAAAGGTTCAGAATTTTTAGATTTTTATAAAGAAAAGAAATTCGGAAACCTTTTTTTCTACCAATATAAATTTGGAACGCCAAAAAATAAAGTTCAGAATTTTTGGATTTTGATAAGGAGTTCGGAAACCATTTTTTTTACCAGTTTAAGTTCGGTATGACAAAATAAAATGTTCGGAATTTTTAGATTCTGATCAAGAAGAGTTATTCGGAAACCTTTTTTTACCAATATAAATTCGGTATGCCAAAAAAAAGTTCAGAATTTTTGGATTTTGCTGAGGAGGAGTTCGGAAACCCTTTTTCTTTACCAATATAAATTCGATATGACAAAATAAAATGTTCGGAATTTTTTGAAACGCCCAACCCGACGACCCGTCGTAGATAAGGAAATGATGTCGTACTTGTGTCCATAAAAATTTACGTAAGAAACTGTGTTGCCAGGCAGCGATAATCGCTGCATCTTTGCCGGGTTCATCAGTACTTGAAACCAGTTCCCTTAATTCCGAATGCTTTCGAGATTGGGTACGGATTCAAAGCACGTTTTTCTTCCGGTGATTGATTTAATGACGGCGGCTGCTCCGACGTTCAATTTCTTCAAAATTATGCGCGCGGCTACGCGCATATTTTTTTTTTCATTTGTTCAAGCTCTTCTTCAACTTGAACATGACTTCCCAATTTTTTATTGAACCTATGCTCAAATTATCCCTAATTTGAGCATTGGTTAAAAAATAGAGGAAGCCATGTAGGAAGGCAAATAATTTTTTGCATTTGTTCAAGCTCAACTTTAACTTGAACATGACTTCCCAATTTTTTTTTAACCAATGCCCAAATTATGCCTAATATGAGCATTGGTTAAAAAAAAGAGGGAGTCATGTAGGAAGGCAAATTATTTTTTGCATCTGTTCAAGCTCTTCTTTAACTTGAACATATGACTTCCCAATTTTTTTTAAACCTATGCTCAAATTATCCCGAATTTGAGCATTGGTTAAAAAATAGAGGAAGTCATGTAGGAAGGCAAATAATTTTTGGCATTTGTTCAAACTCAACTTTAACTTGAACTTGACTTCCTAATTTTTTAAACCAATAAAAAAAGTTTAAAAAAGAGGAAGTCAAGTTCAAGTTCAAGTTGAAAAATTATTGTCAAATTATGCATAATTTGAGCAATGGTTAAAAAAAGAGGAAGTCAAGTTAAAGTTGAGTTTGGACAAATGCAAAAAATCATTTGAATTAAATCTTTAATCCATGTCAGCATAATCGGGTTCAACAGTGTATGAAAATCTGCGTGAAACTCGTTTCAAGTGAGAAAGACAAAGTGATGACTGACGAATTTTTAAATGTGTTGAGTAAATAAAAAGGCCTCACGAAGAGTTTGTAAACTTTTAAAAACAAATTTCATTAAACGTTACTATATGTTCGAAGCAATGAAATGCTCAACATTTTCTGTGCGTATTCTTTAAATTATGTAGTTATTCCTGTAATTAAGTTCATGAATAGGGAATGATTGTGAATAAAAATGTGAGTGAATTTCGTGTGAAAGAGGGAAAGCAAGGTGTTAAGTTAGCATCTAAATTCTAAAATAGATTGAGGACACAAATGGCTGATCAAAGAATTTTTTTCATTATTGAATCTCAACTTTTCCCTGAACATCACTTCCTAATTTGAAAGAAAAAAATAATTCATTCTTAGTACAGTAGTGCCTAAGTTTGATGTCCAAATTTTGCAAATGACTTCGGTTGACGTTTTTTTAGTGACGAGAATTTTGAACTCGTGTCAGCAAAAGGGAGTGACAGTGAATGGAATTTTGATTGAAAAGTTTCTGAAATAAGAAAAGAAAAGTATTGTATCATGTAAGTGATCTTGAAGTGTGTCTGGAACGCAAAAAAAAGCGAAGAATTTTTAGCATTTTTAAAATGGAAAATTTATTTGAAGATTATTATTTACAGTATTCGGAAAAATGAAATTCTCAAAATTATCTGTGCATTTGTCTTGAATTATGAAGTTATTTCTGTAATTTAGAATTATAAACGAAGAATATTGATGTGCAAAACGAAAATTCTGTACGATGCATCTAATTTTTTTATATTATATGCGGGGAACCACATAATATGAAAATCTTCTAAAAATATTTCTTTCTGTTTTTTTTTCTTTCCAGGAATACTCTTGGATTGACGCTTGAATATTAAAAAAAAAAATGCTTTCGGGATCAACTAGCAGACCTCCAGAAACTCGTCGAGCTTTCCCCAGCACCGATTCAAAGACTAGTCAGCCCATCATGAAAACCCACCGTCCATTAAGAGTCTGCAACAACAGAGCCGCTGTCGCTGTCAAAAAGCCGCCGTTTCGCCGCCACGGCGCCCCAGTGACGTCGCCCCGTTGTGACCGAATCCAGTCCTTCGCCACTCGTCAGCACAATGACGACCACGACGACGACGACTCGAACCCATTATCCCCGTCTTCGTCATCATCGTTGTCAGAGGACAGTGCTTTCAGTAGTGAAGCGGAGAACAGCACTCCGATGACGACCACTGGTTCCGGGAAGCGACACGAGATGACGCTCGCAGCCGAGGAGAGAATGACGACGACGACGACGACGACCAGCAATAACAAGCCGATTTTGAACAAGAAGCAGCGATTGCTGGCGAGTCTGTGTGGTCCACTGCCTGGTGGTGGTGGTGACAAAATGGAGAATGTGATGGTGCCAAATAATAATAGCAATAATAGTCATCCCTTCCGACCCTGGGAACACGGGGATGAGGAGAATCATAAGATGTCTGCTGTGTCTTATTCTTGGCATCAGCCTCAGCAGCAGCAGACACAACATCATCATCAGGTGATTCTGGTTCACCCTGGAAAGTGCTCGTCTCTCGTGATTTGTCCTGCTGAAGGTGAGGAGAATGTTAATCGGTGTAAAAAAAAATATCAATACAAAGCCCATAAAGTTCTAAAATGCTGGGATTTTTTTCGGATTTAAAAAATGGTTCTCGATAAATTTGGAATATCTTTTTTAGACTGACTGATGTGAAAGAAGAAAAAAGGGAGCATGATACTCTTTCCTAAAACAGCTAAATTTTATGCATCAATTTAAGAAATTATCTTGCGTATATGCGAGTGTTGTCCCATTTTCACGCGGCCTCTGATATAGTTAGAGTAGATGTGATTGTAAAAAATATATATCAATACAAAGCCCATAAAGTCCTAAAATGCTGGGATTTTTTTTTTATCTTGCGTATATACGAGTGTTGTCCCATTTTCACGCGGCCTCTGATATTGTTAGAGTAGATGTGATTGTAAAAAATATATATCAATACAAAGCCCATAAAGTCCTAAAATGCTGGGATTTTTTTTGGATTTAAAAAATGGTTCTCGATAAATTTAGAATTTTTTTTATTTTAGACTGACCGATGTGAAAGAAGAAAAAACCCTCGTACTATGAGAAAGGATTTTGTTGATTTACAATACGTAGTTAAATTCTTTAATAGAACGCATATACGCTCGCAACAGGGTAAAAGTGCGCCGGACACTATAACAATCTCATCTACACTAACAAAAAATATATATATCAATACAAAGCCCATAAAGTTCTAAACTTTCGGGATTTTTTAAGATTAAAAAAATGTTTTTTTTTTCATTTGCTGCAAGATAATAACAGAAAACTGTCCAGTTACAGCCGAAGAGAATCACCACCTGTGTCACGGTGTGCTACATATTTGTCAGGATAGCTAAAAAATGATTTTTTCTATTTTAACTATTACCTAAAATTTAAAGATGAACGTGGTTAAAAGATTTAAAAATTTTCAATTGTTTAAGTGACCAGACGAATTTTTAGGACACTGTGACATGGGTTACGAACTCCGGCAGTAACTAAGAACTTTTCACTTATCATCATGCAGTAAATTGAAAAATTTATTTCTTTAAAAAATCTGAAAAGAAAAACACTAGAACCCTAGAACATCCTGGGGTATGTCAAAATTTATTTCTACGACCACACCTGCTCTAGAAGTATCAAAAGCCGCGCTCAACTGGGACAGCCCTTGTACACGTATTACCTGGAAATTTACTGGACCAAAAAAAGACTCTGAATCAGAACGATTCACGAAAAGCGCATCATTAAAGTTAATTCAATATTATCCTCTTTGACCAATAATTATCAACCCTCCTGGAATCTTAAGAAAAAAAAAGTATTTGTGCGGCTATTATAATACTCTCATAAAAAAGTTTTTTGTAAACTAAAACTGGAGCACCCGATAAAAATAGCGTTACTAACGCAAGAACTCAAAACCTAGCTTCGGGCAAAAGCTCATGCTTTGACAAACCGACTAAGTTAGTGCCGAAGAAAGTTGTATTTTTCAATGACTAATGAGCCCACAAAATCCAGTCCCAGTCTTCTTGATTTATTAGAACTCCAATTTTTTCCAAGTACTGCTGAAAAATATTTTTTCAGAGGCGAATGACATGTTTTAGAGATTAATGAGAACATATACAGGCTCAGTAATGTTAATCGATTTTTTTTAAAATTCCAGATACTGTAATTTGGAAAAAGCGACCTGTAAGACTCCTTTAATGTGTCTTTGCCCATCTCGTATATTTTTACGTAACTGGCCACGTTAAAAAGGTAGTTAAAGACTTCCGGTGTTATCTTATAGGTACGTAGTCTTTTATTTAATTAAAATCCCGGAAGAATACATTTTATAGCTGATTTGAATTTTAAAAAATTAAAAATAATATTTTCTCTGGGATCCTTGACATTTCACCTCTTGTGATATCGACTGATAGATTACGAAACACATGATAATCTGGCACTTGAAAACCCCACCCTGATAATAAAAACAAAACAAAAAATATTTGGAAAGAAATCCATGCAGAAATTTTCAGAATAACTTCAGCATATATTCAAGCAAATATATGTTTCCATATTATGGAAATCTAGTGCTTAAACCCTTGCCTGTTATTGTACAGGGGTTTATCCTGCACAAAAAACTTGATCATTTAAAAAATTTCTCAGAATTTTTTTATTTATTAAAATTGCATACATTTTACACATTTGTCACTATAAACTTGAAAAAGGAACCAAACATCCTGGTATCATCCAGGTACTTCTAAAAACGATTTTTGCCATCATATACTATTTGATCATGCCAAAAATTTTCAATATCTTGCTTCACCTTGCAATTTCCCACACCTTCCATCATTTATTATTAGATACTTTCCTCTTCAAAAATTGAAGCATTTTTAGTTCATCACTTGTTAAATTTTATTGAGTTCAGGTCCTATAGTCCTGTTAAAGTATCTCTATTGAAGCTTCATTTTGATTCATCTTTGTGAGTCCAATCTAAATTTTGTTACAGCTAGCAACAAATCGATTTTTCAATCAGACCTGCGCGTGAGCGGGACGTTGAAATCCAATACAACTTAATTCAAAATGTCATGCTGAAAACTAGGAAAAATATGAAATTTCCAAGTTTTATCATGGGGCGAGTGTCTCTGTGGTAAAATTAAAATTGTTTATGATTTAGGCCTAAGGAAAGTCGCGTTTTGCATGACGAAAATCCCACATAACGACACGAATTTAGATGCGGATCAGTTTCACAGATGTTGTACCGTAGTTGAATTCGACCAAATTTGTAGCAGGTGCGACACCTATACGTAAAATATGACAACGCGTACACGCATTGCAGACACGCCCTAAACCGCACGTCGGGACATTTGTATTACTGTAGTTACATTGAAGTGGGAAGTACTGTACTGTACTGTACTCAACTGAACGGAACACAGTTTGACCCAAGGGTTATCTCGATGGTTCGTCTTGTTTGTAAATACTGCGCATATATATATATATATTTACTGTATACATCTCTTCGTCTCTGTTCAAAAGGACGTGATGGCTTGTCAGATAGGCTTCAGGAAGAGCCCTTGGACCTGGGAGTGAAACACGTTGCTTCCCCGTCATCCACTTCGTCCTACGAGTCTGCCAACAGCGGGTATTTTAGCAGTGACTGGGACGTGCAACGAGTGGATGAAACCCCGCAGCTGTGCTGGAGCAGTACTGGTCAACCGGGAATTGCAGGGACCAAGTTCCGGTAGGATTGAGAGAAAAAAATCCATGAAATTATAATTTTGAATGAGTGATCTGCTGGGTTCCTGCCCCAATATCAAGACACTTGTACAATGGGTCCCCAAAAAGATAGGACATAATTAAATAGGACAAAAAGGACATAATTGGTGCTTGGACCTTACTGTCCCCATATGTTGGGTCACATTTTTCCCATGTACAGCACTTGAATGAGGAAATTATAATTGGTTTTCCTGCCTATCAAACAATTTCATGAAAAGTTTGCCAGAAATAAGTTGAATAATTTTTTTTCACTTCAAGGCACAGAACATAACTAAGCAGAAGAAAACCACACAGTATCTGACCTTTTTTTAATGAAAGAGAGCCTGAATATCAAAGCAAAAACACATGTATTACTATATTGTGCACAGATGATGGAAAAAACTCTAAAAAAAGCAAAAACTTGGCCTGTTCTGAATTTTGAATTAGATTAAATTCATACACTGTATTTACTCAAGTACCACATGCAACTCTTTCTTGAAAATGAGGAGAAAATAGGGGGTGCGCATCATAATCAAGCGTGGCATACAATTTTCAACATGTTTTTTAAGTTTAGGTCTTTATTAAACTTCATTCTAATGGGGAATTCGATTAAATTCATACACTGTATTTACTCAAGTACCACATGCAACTTTTTCTCAAAATTGAGGAGAAAAAAGGGGGTGCGCATCATAGTCAAGCATGGCATAAAACTTTCAACTTGTTTTTGAAGTTTAGGTGTGCATTAAACTTCATTCTAATGGGAAATTTGGATCAATTTCATCAGAAAAACTCATTTTTAAGGGAAAAAAGGAAAGTTAGTTGAATTCAGGTTCAATCCATGTGTAAATTCAAATATTTGTATACTCTTATTTTCAAAATATTGCAGTTTTAGAAATTTAGAGTCACTGAAAATGGGGTGCACATCTTACTTGGGGATACATTTTTTATCAAAATTTACAACTGAAAAACCCGAATGCATTTCTTATGTGGTATCTGATTAAATATGGTATATTTTGAGATATAAATACCTTAATTTGTTCAAGAGATTTCAAAATTTGGAATATACAAAATGTACAGTATTTATAAATTTTTGGAAAATGTTTGTACACTTTCTTGAGACATTGTCCCAATTTCGGGGCAGATTTTTTGAGCTTATGAAGTTTCCCTTAGTCAAATTGTCCATATGAATGTTGGGGTGTCCAAATCTTGGGGCCCCACAGCATAAAAAAAAATTTGCAAGTAAACAAAATTTCTTGGCAAGGATAACAATGATTCATCACCATTGTTTCACATGGCACAATGTTTGTGAATAAAAATGTGATGCTCTATAAAAAGTTTGGAGTTCAAGCTTTGACTTGTTCTTCAAATCGATTCAAGACAAGGAAATTGTGAATTCTTTCATTTACTTTGCATGTATTACCTAAATTAAGATGAAAAATAAAATACTAATTCCCTTGTTTGTTTCGTGTCTCAGCATTAAAGTCAAAATCCTGATTTTGGTTGGGAAATTTGGTACTTTCCTGTTATCTCAGTACCTACTTTCTGTGCACCTACCAGAAACTGTGAATTTCATTTTTCCACATTCTGCTGAAACTGATTTTGTGAGGTGGTTAGGTAAAGTTAGGTTAGGTCAGGTTATGTTAGTTACAAATATCTTTCAATTAACATAACCTGACCTCACCTAACTTTACCTAATCGCCTCCCAAAATCAGATTGTACTTTGTGTACCAAACTCAACAGTTATATGGTATAAAATAAGGCACAGAAACTAGGTACCAAGATAACAGGAAAGTACCGGAAATTTTTCAAGAGATCAAGTTGCACGAGTAGAACCAATCGTGCATAAGAAATCTAATTCAATGAATGGGCATCTCAAAAAATCCATCCTCATCACTGAAAATTGTGATTCTTTTTTTTAAGCTCTGGAATTATAGCGGGGTCTTGCGTAATTAAGAAAATGCATTGAAGTGTATTTACGTGGAATTTTTGTTTGAATTTAGAATGAAAGTTTAATGACATTTTCTTCTCTCTTTATAAAAAAATAAACAGCCGGACGTCAACCAGAGCAAAGCAGCGCAATTACAAAAGCATGACTCGGGAGCGAAGAATCGAAGCCAACGCCCGGGAACGGACCCGAGTTCACACCATTTCAGCTGCCTTTGAAAACTTGCGAGCTGTCGTGCCCGTCTCACAATCATCTCCTTCTTCATCATCAACCTCATCATCATCATCATCGTCATCACCAATAGCATCATCATCATCATCAGCCGCAAATCAATCGTCTCAAAAACTGTCGAAATTGGCCATCCTCAAAATCGCGTCGGCGTATATTCGGGCCTTGTCGCGACTCGTCGACAACAGCTGCGATTCCTCGGAACCCGGCTTTCGAGACTGTGCAGACGCGTGTGCCAGGCTTATTGAAAGCGAGACTGCTGTTATGGGGAGAAGCAGCTGTGGCGGCGGCGGCGGTAATGGTGGCGGCGGCGGTGGTGGCGGCTCGGGATTCGCTAATGATGCTGAAATAAGACAGCGTCCTATGACGGGCTATTCGGATCCCGCGACGTCCATCAGCAGCAGCATTTCGGCGAACGGCGACTCGAGTTGCTGTTCTTCTGATCAGGACAGCTGAAATAAGGAGGACAGCAAAACAAAAAACAAAAGAGATGCCATTTATTTCTTCTTCTTATTTCGAGTGTCGCGGGAATTGTTTCTTCTTTATTAAGACCGATTTTTTGCTCAATTATCTGTGAGAATCGTGAATTGAGTCGAAAACTTGTCATTGGATTTGAATGAGAAACGCGGTTTGAGGGTTGTTGATGGAAGACAGGAATTACTGAGGCGAAATGTTTGAGTGTTTGTGTGCGTGTGTTTTTTTTTTTTTTTTTTTTTTTTTTTTTTGGAAGACAGGAATTACTGAGGCGAAATGTTTGAGTGTTTGTGTGCGTGTGTTTTTTTTTTTTTTTTTTTTTGCTGTTACCGTATTACTCAAATATAAGATGCCATCCATGATGAAACGCATTTATGTTTTTTCTCGAGTACAATATGATGAAGGTGAGAATACGTTTACCTACAGTTGTGAGAAGAACTCTGATTAAATTGAAATTCTCCAGAATCTCAAAGGAGAAAAATGACAAATAAACATTGTTTCACATTTATAACACAATCGTCATTGTCTCGTACGTCTTTAAAGTGGAGCTTAGAAATTCCTTCTTGGCATGTCAATCTGTCGGATTGGTTTCGGAATCCGGGAATTTTGGGTTTTGTAACTTTCATCCATTCAACGGAAGTGTAAAATTCCCACTGTCCTCAGTACAGTGCAGTCAGTGCTGTGCCGTAACCACATTTCACAGTGCCGACTACAATTTTGGCATACCAAACCTTTGACAAGTCATTAAAAGAGCGAACACAAATATTTTCAAGATGGCGCTATTCTCGGCAAAGACCTTCAAACCGAAAGAACTCGGGATGAAGGGAATTGTGGCAATGCGTGGCGGTCGGGTGAAAGGAGTGGTCAACGACAGGTGATGTGTGTGTTGTTCTGTTTATCTTAGTGTGACGTGCGCTTTCGTTTTGAAAATGCGTTTGCTTTTTGCCTAATTTGAAAACAATGCTTGCGTGACAGTTAATCTAAATTCACGATTATTAGCTACGTTAGTCTGAAGACCACACGTGACAAAGACTTGCGTTGTACTTCGTGTGAGTTCTGGATCGAAGATGAGTTTTACTAGCCTTATGCGCAGTACGTCACGTGAAGTTCATTCGATCAGTGATGCCCTGGTAAATGCCAAGCTAGGCCTTTCTGCAAGCGATGATCGAGTATGGAAAGAAGGGATTGCCGTGTTTTATCGGATTTTTAAGTTCCTCGAGAATCAGTGCCTTGAGAAGGCAGATTCTTTGGACCCTCGTCTGCTAAAAATACGTATTCCTGGCATGGAACGCACCGAGAGATTCGAAGCGGACTTGGAATTTTACTATGGGCCGGAATGGAAGGCTTTAATTGAGCCTACTTCGCCTGAAATTCTTGCTTACATTGAGCATCTGAGCAAGTTGCGTAAGGAGGAGCCGATTGTGTTATCTTCATTCGTGTATCATTTGTACATGGGACTTTTCGCCGGTGGCCAGATTCTGAAGCGAAAACGTCGCATAGTTCAGAAGGTAAGCGTGTTATTTATAGAAGTCATTCTTATGTGATCCAATCGTGTAAATTGCTTGTTTAGGTTCCGAAGTGGCTGGGTGGATCACCTGGTGCTGGAGCTGACGATTCCTCTGAAGGGTTAGAAGTGGTTTCATTTGGATCCCCTATTCTAGATTTGAAGAGGGCTTTACGACATGGAATGGAGAATCTGGCGGACGAACTAGATGATAAGTCCAAAAACCGAATCTTGGAGGAAGGTATCAATGTTTTTAAATTGAACAACTCCATCATTCGCACTATCCAGTCTGCGGATGAAGTTTTTCAACAGCGGCTTCGGTCGTTTTCCGTTCCCGTGATCGTCGCAGTGCTGTGTGTGTTAGCTTATTTCCTCCATAGCTTTGCATCAAAGTGATAGAAAGGTTTTGTTTGTGTATAATTCTGGTTCAGCTCGTAAGTAATACGAATCGAAACTTCGTTTCTAGATTTTTTTTATTGTGAATATCTGCGCGAAGATAATGTTCAAGAGCAATCAGATCCGTGGAAGAGGGCAAAAGTGAGTATTCCCATTTATTCGATTTGACTAGGATATGCGCAATAATTTTCTCGCGGAGACTAAATTCAAGTTATCTTTATTTTGGCTTTTTATTGACGTGTAAAACGCATGACTGCTTATACCAAACGCAATCTTCGGATTAAAATGGTACAGTAATTTTTAGATGCCATGAACAAATCTTCACTAACATTTCGTTTTAAAGACACGGCCAATACCTAATAATCTTTGTTAGTGCTAGAAGTAATTCAGCTGTTAATGAAACCGTGAGCGGAATCAAGTGATTTTTCGGTTCTGACGACTTATAACGCAACTCATGTGCGTCTTGCCCTCGCATGTAAATTTATTTTAATTATTTTCTTATACGTGGCTGGGAAAAATATGATGGGCTTTATTTATTTATTTTATTTTTTTAAACGCGGGTATTTTTCAAATTCGAATTTACTTGAATGTTTCCAGTGGCCCACGTGGTATGGTGTCGGACCGCATGGTCCAGCAACAAAGGGTACGAGGTGCGGTTGGAGTCAAGGGACGACTTGGAATTCGCAAAGGTGGTAAAACCGTCGCTGCCCGTCTTGGCATTGACCTGAGAAACAAGATCGGCAAAAAAAGTGTTGCGCGTGACACAGGGATTGATCTCAGAGACCTGATAGGTTCAGATGACTCTGCCATGCGTTTAAATACTGGGACTCAGGCATTGCGAAGACCCCTTCGAACATCCAAGTTGATTACGCCTGTTCTTGTAAGATATTCCATGCATTTATTTTTGAAATGCATTCAGTGTGTGTCGAATGGTTGCGAGTCAGAAGTTTGGTTGTTACTTGGAGCTGCTCCACGTTGTTCCTGAATTCCTGTGCCTATTTGTCAACTGGTTTTTCAAGTTACCCCAGTTATGATGTGTTCAACTGCAGCTATCATCTTTCAAATTCGCCAGTTTTCCAGTTACATTTTTTTTTGTTCACGTGCAACTTCCCGTTAACAATATTGCATCATTTTTAATTTGCTTGCTGTTTATGCGCGTTTTTTGCTTGCTTGTGTAGGCCGCAGCTGTTTCCGATCTTCATGAGCCACAGTTTCTACGTCCTCGACAGAAGATGACATTTACTCTGCCAAAGAAAACTGAATTGATCAAAATCCGTCGTACAGTAGACAACATCATTCCTCCCGGGAAACTTCTCTTCACTGTGAAGAATTCTGGCCCGGCGAAGGTGAGAGGATTCAACGTACTGTACTTTCCATCGATCAATTGTGAAGTAACATCTCAGTACTTGCTGAAGTACTGTATTTTTTCGTGTTTTCTTTTCTGAGAGTTAATTTTGTTTCAATTTGCGCGTGTCATTGCGTAAGCGAGAAACGTCGAGTACCGGCATTATATTTTGAGGTACTGTATTATTATTCCAGTTTGAAGACCTCACAATCAACCGTGATTTTCAACCGAAGAAGAAGAAGCGTCCCATGGAAATGGAAGTCGATGACGATGAGGAATCTGATGGCACACCTCCTCCACCTCCCAGACCGAAACCGAAGAAAACTCTGGCAAAAGCACAACCTAAATCTAGCAACTCTATGAATTGTGTTCGCGTTTCTTCGCTTCCGGAGAACCTTAGTACGCGAGATATTACAGTACGTGGAATTTCCTCTACTTCTTCGGATTCTGCCAGTCAGTTTCCTGTCTTTCTTAATATTGTATTTTTATAATTTTCAGGAACTGTTCGATGACTTCGGAGACATTTGCCGTGTCAGTAAGAAAGCAAGCACAGTTTTTGAGGTGGAATTCGAAACTGAGGATGACGCCAGAAAAGCAGTTGTGGAATGCATGGATGTTACATTGGACGGGAAGCTGATTGATGTCGTTCTTGTACCATCAAATGAAGCACGGTTCGTTTTTCCTTGGATTATTTCAATTCTGTAATTCGAAGCGATTCTTGATGCTGTGAAAATGCGTTTATTCATGTTTGAAAGTGACGTGATGATTTGGTCTTTTACGATTTATTTCTTCGATTTCAGACCGGAAGCCCGAAAGCAGGGATTTTTGAGCAAGATGCGTTCACAATGAAGAATGTGTGGTTTCCCGATTTTGTCAATTTTCATTTGGTGTGTGTGTGTTTTTTTTCTGTTTGAGAATTTCGTGGGAATTATTCAAATTTATTGTAGATTCTGCGTCACGTGGTTTTCTTATGGGCATTTTGGTTTCATTTATTCGTGTTCGTGAACTTGAGTAGAGTATTTTGATGGATTGCAGGACGTGTGGGTGTTGTGAAAATTGGCGTGATTTTAAAAGTGAAGTCGGCTAGCGGGACGTGGATGCCGGATGCCGGCGGGAGTAAGAACGCATCAAAGATGCCTCGGGTCTTGGAGCGAGGCGGAGGCCAAAGGAGGTACAACGGCGATTACCTAGCGAAGTCCAGACCTGAGGTTGTGTATGACGCGGCCCCGAAGCTCCTTGTCAGGTGAATATTACTTTCCTCATCTATCTTCGTATAATGTCGTGTAATTTAGATTTATCCTTGAAGAGCAGGTATATTTTGGGAGAGAAAAGATGGTCTAAATGTTCGAGAATAATTATTGCTTTTTTATTCAAGTTTTTGTTTTGCATTCGATTCGGTGTTTCGTTCGACATTTCTATGTAGATCTTACTCTAAATAAGAACGGTGACGAAACCTACCGAAAGATTCCGTGGAGCCTCAGTCTTTTTATCATATTTAGATTTGAGTGCAGTCGAATTCCAAGGGACCAGCAACAAAACTTTGGTTAGGGAGGATTTCGATTTAGGCAAGAAGCATTTTTGTCGGGGTAGATTGCAGGAAAGTTTAATTGGCGATATTCTGAACATTAAATAGCTTTTAAAATGATTTGACACGATGCTGAGCTTGGAGGCAAGGATTCATTTACCCAAATAGTATTTCACTTCCTTTCAAAGCACATAAAGTTAAATTTTTATATCTTTTCTCTTTCCTGTGTCAATAAAATAATATTTGAAAGGCCTCCAGAAAATTAGATTTATGGAGGTTTTAGGAGGAAAGCCGTCGAGTTACGGATGTTTTAATGTAATTTTTGTTTGGGAATTCAACTGTGACGTGAAAAAATTGACATGGGTAGGGTTTTGACTTGAAGTGGCCCGAGTTATCGAGGTTCAACAGTACTTTTCAGTCCCGTTTCCAACGTTTGATAATCGTGTAGATTTATGTGTGATGTTTACTCATTCAAGTACTGTACCGCAGTTCAGGGAAACTCTTGCATTGTTGTCAAGCCAGGTGTTTGTACAGTATTTTGTATGTACGCTTCAAGCGACGGTGGTACTGAATGTTTGTGGGAGTTCTTTTTTTTTGTTTTATGTGAACAGAAAAATCGTGTGAAAGAGTTCAGTAAAGAAATGAGAAACCGTAGGAAATCTTTACAGAGGATTTTCCTTGTACTGTATTTTTTTTTCTTGTGTTTCTCTGCTGTTCAAACGTCTGGGTTTTGCGTTCCAGAAACGTAGTCACTGCGCAACGAGCCCCGGAGCCTCCAAAGCCTTCTTCGCCTGTTGCTGTGCCAAAACCTCAACCGGATGGTAAGTGCTTGCATTACGGGGATTAGGTTGATTGCGTATGCACTGATTTTGAGTTCTTGACTTTTCTTGTAGTGGAATGGTTGAAGACACCGTTGAAAGCCAAGATTTCGAGAGGAAAAGTGATATCGTCTGGCATGGATGTCGATGAGCGTTTTTTAGACTTGCTTACTGATCAAGGGGATTTCCTTGTTATTGGCTGCATTGGTCCTGAAGGTGTTGGTAAAAGCACAATTTTAAATCTAGTGGCCGACTCTTCTTTCAACATCAACAAGTGAGTTACGTTTCATAATTATCTATTTTGTCTTTTCGATTTTGTGAAGAAACATTTGCGTGTGATGAATTTCCGTACTTTTGCAAGGACGAATTGTTCGAGTGTGGCTAGGTTTGCTCTAACTTGCATTAAAATTCATTTACTTGTCAAGTTGAGGAATCAGATGATTTTCATCTGATTCCTGTGTGCGCATGAACATCAATTCGATGTAAGAAGGTTCATTTTTTCGGTGGGGTATTATTGTATAGAAGGCGTTTTGATATATTTTCCTACCTGGATGGTAAACACTCCAGGGGATTGTTCGCTTCCACAAATTCAAAGAAGGTTAGAACAAATTCGTTTTGACGTCTATTACTTTCCGACGAATAGAAGTGCTGTGCTGTACTGTACTAGTATCGCGGCTCAATTTTTTTGGACACCTCATAATCTTATTTCTGGCAAGTGTGAGATAAACCTAGGCTTTTCGTCTTCGATTTTCCTCTAAGGAATGGTTTTTTTTTCAGTACTAAGTGTAAACAAAGATTGGAGATTTCCCGAAGGTTGATGTTTCTTTCCCCTTTTTTTGTGTCTGCTTTCGTTAGAGTGAAGTTGCAAAAGACTTCTTCAACTCGGGGCGTGGATGGAGTAGTTACAGCTGAACGAGTGATTTTGCTCGACTTCGAACCGTTTATGTCTTCTTCTGCCCTGGTGGACCGTATGTGGGGCAAGAATGCGGGTAGCAGTGGCCCAGCCGCCGGAAAGGCTTCGTTTCAAAAGCGTGACGACTCTCTTATTGAAACTTCCCTGGATGTTCAATCTCTCCAAACCGCCGCCCTGGCGTTGATGACGTGCCACATTGTCATGGTCGTTCAAGACCGGGTCCTTGATCCAGCGGTTGTCAGGTACAGTGCAGTATTATTGTGCCCTGTTCGGCCAAAACTTTAGTATGGAAGGAGTTGAAGGGATGTTTTTGTTGTTGGTGAACCAAGTCCGAATGGAGAACTTTCATTTACCTCTTCTTTTTTTTTGGCTGACACATATCGCTTTTTATCCCGGAGGTACGCGAATTACGGCGGGAATACCCTTATCAAGTAAATGAAAATTATTTTGAGGGGAAAAAATTACAGAAGCCGAAGTGTTCACTGCTTTGACTGGGGTAGAAATCCGTACTTACTGAAGTACCACGCGCAACTTTTTTCCCCAGAAATTGAGGTGGATAAAAAGGCTGCGCGTAGCACTGAGGGTTATTTTTTTCGAGGAAAAATCCCCAAAACCAGTGCCTCTCACATGAAAGTAATGTACGGTACATCTAAGCAACAACTAAATTGAAGAGGAAATGTGTGGCGCCAAGTCTGCTTGACTATGGCAAATAATGCTTCGAGGAATAACCAATTGAGTAATTTTCATCAGTTGGAGATGCAGCAGGATGTGAAGCGAGCGGAAAATATTTGTCTAATTGAGGAAGGTTCCATATATGGCAAGCACATTTTCAACTGCTCCTGCTCAAATTAAAAAACATGCAAGAAAAGTATCAATGAGGAAAATGGATCCACACACGAAAAGATTTCATAATTTTTAATTTTCAGCAGCGACAAAAGAACTCGGGTGTGGGTCTTAAACAGGGATAGGTTTTTCGGCAAATTCCTCGAAAAAATATCGGGGTGCGTGTCTTACTCTAGGGCTCGTGGTACTCCAATAAATACAGTACTTTTAAAATAAGGCCGCCCTCTTTTCTCTGTGCTGTCATCTGTACTTAACATTGAAGAGTTCCGTTCAGCTCAATTTTCATTAATTCAATTTTATTTTTCAAGGTTTTTACACACGGTGGAGATGCTGAGACAGCGTAGAGGAGTGATGGCAGCTGAAGAGGAAGAGAATCCTAATCAAGTCGGAGAGTTACTGAAATGGGTTGGACCTCATGGAATGAAACCGTTTCAACCGCATGTCATTTTCATCCACAACCGTTGTCAACCTGAAGACTTCACGTCTCATCGTCTATCTTCTCTTCATGTTGGTTTTTCGTTTTGTTTTCCTTTCTGGGCATTCCGTAAACATCTTTTTAATAAATTCCAGACGACGTATGCGACTCTTCTGAAAGGCTCTGAATTGCGGACTTATACCGGGTTCAATTTAGCGTCGAGATATCATTACCTTCACTCCGGAAAAAGCTACGAGAACTTGAACCTTTTTTTAATACCTGACGCGTCGTGTGAGTTGATTTATTTTTATTTTTTTTTAATATGAGACGAATAGTGTGTAATACAGTAGTTTTCATTTTTTTTTTGCAGGCGATGGCGACATATTGAAGAAGCAACTAGGGAAGTTGACGCCGAGTTTCCATGACGTGTTGAGGTGCTTGAGGATCGCTTTGTGGTCTACGCCACGTTATCCGGTTGCTGAGCAATTCGTAACCGAGAAGAACTGGTGAGTGGGATTTTTTCCTCTGGGTTAGCTCATTTGTTCGATTGATTTTTTTCTTATAAATTTGAAAGGTTTACGATCGTGTCGAGATCGTGGGATGCCGTGCAAAGACCAGGCAACTTCATGGAATACAGCAGGCGCCTGTCCATACCTTGAATTTTTCTTTGGGTCCGAGCACGGATTTGTGCAGAATTTATCGAAGACCTACCTTCTTGGGTAACTTGATACGCCGAGGCTTTGCGCCGTTCTTTACGGTTGTGAGTATTTTGTTTGATTTTTCAGCGCTGCTTCACCATCGGTTTTTTTTTTTTTTTGCTGAAAATTCCTATGTTGAATCACTATTTTTTATTAGTACTTTATTATTGTTAATCGTCCCGGTATACTGTATATATACCGTATTTACTTGAGTAACGCTCAAGTAAATACGCGCGTGAGACGCGCATCACGTTTTTCAGTTGAAAATATTTCAATTCTTTCCCCGAGTAAGACGCGCACCCCATTTCTAGTAACTCTAAAACTGCAAGTTTTCAAAAATCATTCCACCCAAATTTGGATTTAAACGATAATAACTTACTTCAATGGATAAAGTAGGTTTTTCTGTTGAAAATTTTCAAACATTTTCCATTAGATTAAAATACACCTGAACTTCTGAAAATTTAAAAAAATAAATACTCCTCTATGACGCAAACCCTATTTTCCCCTCTCGATTTTCAGGAAAAAAAATGCGCGTCGCAATCGATTACATTTTGTATGTACAGATGGGTTCACTCTGCAACAATCTTGTCTACATTCATTTTCTCTGGATAACGAATTTTTTTGGTCCCACATGCTTCTCTCCCCATGTTATACGGGGTTCTCTATATTCTACATCTATATTTTCTCTACGACGATTTTTTCTTAGTCGAGAATCAAAATACTGTACAGTAGAAACCCGTTATAACGAATGCTGTGATTGATTTCAACAGAGTCGTTTGTTAGGTCCCTGTCGAATAATCACAATGTTGAATGAGTCCCTTTATGACGAATGTTTCCATACAACGAAGCTGTTACCCTGGTTCCAATGGCTTTGTAGTATAGAAAATGTTACTGTACAGAAGATCTAAATGTAAATATTTTTTCAGGCTGACAGCGTGGTGTTGGATCGAGGTCTTGCGGAATACGGCGTGGGGGTGGATGTGCTGACGGAAGCCCCGAAGTAACACAGCCGTTGCCGTTTTGACCATCTGCATCAGTTGCGTGGGGAATGAAAGGGTGGCACGCGTGCATACGCTCTGCGAATCAGGGAGTTTTTATTCACCGATTGGAGAGGGAAAAGAAAAGTGATCTTATTCACGGGCATACGTGTATCCGTGTTTTGCCTCCTGGAGCGTGAAAACGAAGAGTGAAAGAAAGATGGACGGGGTAAAACGTATGTGTGTGTTGTGTTTTTGTCTGTCTGTCTGTGTGTGCGTGTATGCGAAGACGGATGGAGAAACGTAGTCATTTGGGTAACACATTCGGGTTTCCGCTAAATTCCGTGCCTGCCATTTTTTCTGTTGTGTGCTCTATAGCCGCCTCTTGCCGCGCGAGGAACCAGGCATCTTCTTCGTATAGAGTTGGCGTCATAGGTGGTAGGGATGTGTTTTTTTTTTGTGTAACTTTTTTTCCTTCTTGATTTTTGGTGAGTTTGTACGCGAACCTTTTTTTTTTTTTTGGTGTGTGGGAGTTGGACAGCAATGAATTCGGATGAGTCGTGTTGTACGTCATTCTTGCTGCTTTTCATACCGTATTTACGTGAATTAGGATTACCTTGGGATTCGCGTAATATTTTAAAACTGAAACACAGTTTGCCGATGAAGCCAAAATCTGCTACGTTTCATGCCAAAATCTCGAGTCAAATATGTTTTGCTATTTTGAAAGACTCGCTGGAATTTTCTTCTGAATTAAATTACGGTACCCCGTCGAACGAACTGGTTTATTTTGTGAGACGAAGAGTAGTCCGGAAAAATGTGCTGGGGTTTTCTCGCATTTGAACTTGAATAAAGAATATTGCTTATTAAGTAAGTTGAGAAGATCTGGACCCCTTGAATGGGTACATATCTTTTCACCCGTTTGAAGTGTAATTTTCTGGCGAATCGACGAGACGCTCTTGATTTTTGAAAAACTTGAAATTTTAATTTTTTTATCGAAGTTCTACATCAAGTTCTTGTATTCACGTATGTGCGGTATTTTGCTACAATTTTCGAAAAACGTATCATTTCCACTATTTTTCAATGCAGAAGGGGTTTGTGTGCAATTGATTTATTTTCTTTCAACATTCGTTTTTCCGTGAGTGTCGATCATGGAAACAAGACCAAACAACACGATTTACATCAACAACTTGAACGAAAAGATCAACTTGGAAGGTAAGAGTTTGCTGTTTTCTGGGTTAATTCGGGTTTCTCGAAGCTAAATTCCTCTTTTTTTCCAGAATTGAAGCGGAGTTTGTACGCGATTTTTTCTCAGTTCGGTCCAATTTTAGCGATTCATTGTAGAAAATCGCTGAAGATGCGAGGACAGGCTTTCGTTGTGTTCAAAGACGTTACGTCGGCTGCAAATGGACTGCGATCTTTGCAAGGGTTTCCGTTCTACGAGAAACCCATGGTACGTTTTCATTTTTCTTGGATGCTTAAGGTCGATTTTTGTTTTGTGCGATCGTTTCTAGTGCAAAATTGCGTCTCGTTTTATTCATGAATATTATCATTTAATGTAGTATGCTTTGTTTTCATGAATTAAAAATCTGCATCAGGTCTGGGGACCAAATTTTTTTTTCTCGTCGAGGGAAATAATCAGCAAATGTTGTAAAACTTGACGTGAGGAGTACTTTGAACGTCGCTCCCTTTTTTTCCGCAGAAACTTGAAAATACTATATAGCCATGAATAAATGACCGTTGAAATGGCGACGTCCACATTTCGCTCGTTTCCCGCGAAACGTTGGCGAATTAGGAAACTATTTTCGTTTTTTCCTTTTGCGAAAGTTTTCTGGCGAAATTCGTCTCATTTTATATACTTCTTTCAGTTCTGAAGATTTTATGCAGGCTTTCAATTTTCTTTTTATTCTGATGTGGGAAGGGGGAAGAAATAAAATAAAAGAATTATTTTGTCTTTCGGTGAAATATTCATGCTAAAGGAAATCGGGGATGATGGAGTCTTCACCAGAAGAAGAAGAATTTTCCAACGACAATTTTAGTGTTATTTCCGCGAATTCAGTGGTTCAAAGATGGGCAGATGTTCAAAAATAATTCAGTGAAGAGGTATTTGAGAGAATGAACCGGCTAGAGTAAGCATGAAAAGTTGCCGATTTTTTTTTTCACCTGATGAAGACGTGCGCACGGTTAATCAGTGACCGAATAATTGGATTCCTTTCGTGTATGAAATCCTACTCGCAGAGGATCCAGTTCGCCAAGAAGGAATCGGTCGACATAAGCAAGCTGAAGGGCATCTACGTGGACTTGCCCAAGAAGGACCGAACGCAACGAGAGACGCAAGCAGCGATTGCGAGTCTGGATTCGCGACGTGCCCGGAAAAAGGCGGCCAGGGAAGCGTCCAAGGATCAGCGACAGAAGGCGAAGCAAGCAGCTGGCGGCAGTGGCGGCACTTACACCCAGCCGAGACCCTATCAAAACATGGGTGATCAGCCGCCGAATCAGATCTTGTTCCTTACCAATCTCCCGCCAGAGACGACTGAGAAGATGTTGCACACGCTCTTTAGCCAGTGAGTAGCTCCAGTTGGGTATAGTGCTGGGAATTCCTCTCTTATATTAAAAAAAAAGAAGTAAAAACCCTTTCCTTGCTAAATTAAAAAAATGCTGTGCCGTATTCGGGAAATTTTTTCTGGATCTCACCGTGATGGATTCAGGAAGCCTGCGGGGAAATCAGTGATTATGAGCATTTCATTACAGTTGAGCCTCTTTAATTCAAACTTCGAGGGACCGCATGGAAAATTCGATTTGGGGAAGCAAGCATTTTTGTTAGGGAGAGAAATGGGAATTACAGGAAAATTTTAATTGGTGATATTCTGGATCCTGAATTACTTCTTGAATGATGTGACTTGATGCTGAACTTGGAGACAAGAGTTCATTTTCGAATTCGTTTTTAATTTCCTTTCAAAATGCATCAAGTAACATTTTTATTGCTTTTCTCTATCCTGTGTTCATAAAATAATATCTGAAAGGTTCTAGAAAATTCTAGCTACGGAGGTTCGAGGGGAAAATCCTTATTCGGGAGGATTTTATTGCATTACAGTATTTCTAAAGGAATTTAGACAGGGACTCCAAAAAAAATCGGCATAGGTAGGTTCAAGTTGTCGAGGTTCAACTGTATCTTGAACTCATACTTTTCAACAGATGTCAGTATAATCACTGATATTTTCCGTAAGAAGCTAACCTGATTTGACATGTATCAAGTTAATGAGTGAGAAGGAAAAAAAAGTTTTACCGAATTCATGCTTAGTATTGAGATGGAAGAAATGAGTGTATTGCTGGGGAATCCTCCGACTCGCGGCTGCTTGTCATTGCACTGGGCTGGCCAAGTGGCGACGGGTCAGGGTACACTCGGAACAGGGTTTGCCACCCGAGCCAATATCCCCGAATGTTTATCGTGTCAACTCACCTCAAAGTTATTTGAAACACGCTGTAGATTAGTTACCATATTTATTCGAATACAAGGCGTTGAAAAATTTAAATGAAAGACGAACCTCTTATACATGATTTGTGTGTGAGACGGTTTCGATTTACGTTTCAATTCTCGAGAAATCAGTGGAGTCTGTTGAATTCAGTTATTCTTCAGATAATAATTTTCATCTCTTCCTGCATTACTCAAGATAGTAAATTGCTCGTTCTGCTCTTGAAGAGGAAATTTGAAAAGGAATAATGTTTTTGTTTTATTTGACGCGATTTTTATTCATGAGATTGTCTGTAATAAATGTAATCATGTACTTAACCTGCGAATATAAAGCGCTCAAGTATAAGAGGCGGTATTTTTCAAGAAAAACTGATTTTTTAAGCAAATTTGTGCAGATGAAGTTTGTACACACACTATACATTATTTCAATTTTTAAAACTTTGTTTTTTACTAATTTTCATCAACTGTTCTAGATTTGAATAGAGCATTACATTTCTATCAATGTACTTGGTTTAGGGAGAGAGCTGGAATATTTTTTTAATGCTTAGTACATTATTTAATATTGATATTATTTATGTTCTGAATATTTTTTTATTCACTCTGTTGTATTTGGGACTGTCGCTTCTAGATTGATTCAGTCTCAAGTTTGAAAAATTGGAAGAATCGCGTTCGGAGATTCAGACTTTTTTTTTTTTGGAAATGATTCCCTGTGTTTCCGTTGGTCGACTTGAATACATGCTTTTCATCCCAAGGTTCCACGGGTACAAAGAAGTCAGGTTGGTGCCGGGTCGGCATGACATTGCATTTGTGGAGTTTGAAACTGAACTGCAGTCGAAAGCTGCCAAGGAGTCGCTCCAGGGCTTCAAGTTGACGCCGACATCTGCGATGAAGATCACCTTTGCGAAGAAGTAAATGTGTCAAGTTGAAATTGTTTTTATCTGATTTTTGTTTTTCGACGTCGGTTCAATTTACTCAAGAAAACCAAAAGACAACCTTTACTTGCAAAAAAGCTAACCAGAGGATGACTTTTCCTGTGCATTGCACGTAAGCAGTAAGGCTTAAACGAAGAAATTACATGAAAAACAAAGAGACGTGGAAAAACTCTTTAAATATGGCATCCGGAAATGTATCCATCAAACGGACTCAGGTGGAAGAAAAACCTGGCAGCATGATATTTCCTGAAACTTTTTTCAATTGAGATTACTGCATTACAAAACATGTGCTGAGCTTTTTAAATTATTTGAAAAACCAAGTTGGATTCACTTCCAAGAACGGGTTAAATTTTGAAAGCAGTATTTTCTTCATGAACCAATTGAGGTGGACATTTTCTTTCATCCCTCGAAGATAAAGTCTATTAAATACAGTTTTCAACTGCCATGAGTACAGTACAGTCGAACTTCGACTGGTCTGTTGAAAGCATAATCAAGCATAACGAATAATTCGGGGAAGATCCCTGTCAGACTAAATTTACGCAGCAAACCAATCAAGAGGGAGTACAGTATCTTTATACAGTACTCGTACTTGAGTAAATTATGTATGTCACAGAGGATTTGTTCTTTTGGTTTTCTGTTGGAAATGAACGTTTTTTCGATTGGTCTCCTACTGAAAAGGACACGTAACGTGCATTCGTCATTCCGAATTTGCTTCTTTAATGTACTTTTTGTTTCTCTGCACCTTTTTCTCTTTAAATATGGCTTCCGGAAATGTATCCATAAAACGGACTGGGGTGGAAGAAAAACCTGGCTGCATGATATTTCCTGAAACTTTTTTCAATTGGGATTACTGCATTACAAAACATGTGCTGAGCTTTTCAAATTGTTTGAAAAACCAAGTTGGATTCACTTCCAAGAACGGGTTAAATTTTGAAAGCAGTATTTTGTTCATGAACCAATTGAGGTGGACATTTTCTTTCATCCCTCGAAGATATTCTATTAAATACAGTTTTCAACTGCCATGAGTACAGTACAGTCGAACTTCGACTGGTCTGTTGAAAGCATAACGAATAATTCGGGGAAGATCCCTGTCAGACTAAATTTACGCAGCAAACCAATCAAGAGGGAGTACAGTATCTTTATACAGTACTCGTACTTGAGTAAATTATGTATGTCACAGAGGATTAAATCGTTTTGCCGATCGATCGAGGTATCAATAATCGCGTGTGAAATACGATCTCGTTTCATGCGCGATTATTGATGCTCCAAAAATTATGGAACGCATGGGTCGCTGATCTCAGGCGCATCTTCATTTTTGTTTCGCTTTCCAAACTCATCTAAAAGTACTAGAACTGACCATATAAATCTTCTAAAAGAAAAGGTCAGAAAACAGAGTAGTGCCTATTGATCACTAATTTATTTTCTTTGCAGCAGCATAGGGACATGTACTGAACATATCGTGTCCACAGATGATGGAGAATGCTAAAAAAATAAGCACACAATTAACAAGTATTTTTTAGAAATCTGAGTAAATATATACAGTAATGGTATTCATTTTAACTTATGTGAATATGAATAGCTCAATTTTTTCAAGAGATATCCAATTTTGAAAAATTAAATTTTTCTAGAAAGCCTCAAAAATATCTGTATGTATAAAGATATTGTCCAGATGTTGGGCTCAATTGTTTGAATTTCCAAATGTGCCCAAGTTGAATTGTCCATCACAGGTCAGTGGGGTCTCACTGTAATACGAAAATTTTTAATTTTACCACATGACCAATGATGGGACTCAAATTCCCAAAGTTTGAAATGGATTTGTTTCAAAACGCAGTCAATAGGAGTCACTCCATGGTTTCAGCCTTCTTCCATATAATAGGCCCTGTTTTCCTGGGTATTATACAGGCTGTGACGAGCCAAGCATGAAATTGATTTCAACACACGTTCAGCATCCCTCAGGGAATGAAGTGGTAGTGCGTGATCCGTCTTCCTACTCTTCTTTTTTTTTGGGCTCTTATATGCAGTTCCCATGTGCTGTATACATGGACGAAGAGGGATCCAAAAGAGATTAGGCGGCCTGTGCTGACGAATAACACCGCTATACCATGGAACCCGTATAATATATGGGTGCGATTCCTGTGGGACACGGTTTCCGCGTGAAATGAGCGTGTCGTTGATTATTTTCCTAGGCGTTGAGGAAGATCATCGGAACCCACATGCATTGTAGGTATATCATATATACGCACAAGTAAATGTACGCCTTGCTTATTTGTTGCATACATCCTTGTCAAAGACTTGTATTTTGTTTGTTTTTAGTGACTTTCATCCATGTAGAGGTTATTATGGCGGTAAATCTTGCCCCTGACTGATTTCTATCCTCATCAGGCTTCAAGAAAAACGAAAATAAATGCAAGATCATTTGTAAGATTCAAAAGAAGGCAAAACACAATATAACTGAACTCTCTCTACAACAAAGTTCAAGGGACCAGAAAAAAAATTTGTTCAAGAGAGAATTTCATTGTAGATGAGAAGCCCTATATAACATGGAAAGAGAACCCTTTGGAACCAAAAAATATTTGTTACACGTAACAGATAAAATCATTTTAGACAAGATTGTTGTAGACAAGAGAGTCCACCTGCATACAATTAATCTTAAAAATAAATATTAATTCCTACAAGTATACAGCAGTGCGGGCTTTTATAGAAAACACATGGCAGACATTTTTCATTTCAAATTTGGTTCATTATTGTGGCTACCAAAAATTGAGTCAAATGTAAAGAATGCTTTCCACTCTTCGGCATGAAAATAAAATTCTGGACAACATTTTATGAATTTTAACAAGCTTTGAGTTTAAACTTCTGAACTTATTTTTAAATCAACAAAGGAAAACATTGGGTAAGAGATGAAAAAATACATTTTTTCCATTTTATTTCAGCCCCAAACAATTTTGAGTGTCAAAAATGTCAGAGATTCTAATTGTCAGGAAAAATTTGTATTTTATACACTAATCAAATGAAGTTAAACCTCTCCAGAATTTTAAGGGGTTCCAAGCATTTTTTTACTTGGGGAATTTGCTTCTTTTTGACGATTTAATGAATGTAAATTATGTTCTGCTGGTCAAATATTATAGCTGCATTCATAATTTGTATGTGGGATGCCCCACATACAAAATCTCTTGATGAGAGCATACATATAACAAAACAATTTTGGCCATAATTTTGTTTTTTCTTTATTTTGTGGACCAGTTTTTCTATAACATTGCCCAAATTTCATAATGCAAAGGGCTTAAAATTTTGACTAAGCAAGGTTCCAAAAAATTTCAAGCTGGGGAGGTTCAAAAATTTCATATTGGACATGAGAGAATCAATCGGGATCACCTGGAAATAAATTTGAGTGTTAAAGGTTCTTGACTTGGAGAGGTTTGACTTGACAGAGTTCAAACATATATGCATGAATAACTTGTTGAAATATGCAGCATATTTCATGATTTTAAAACTGAAGAAAAACCTTATTTTCTCCGCAGAAATATTGCATAAGGCTGAATAACTCATCCTCGCACAAATTTGTTTTCATTACAGTATATGGGGGACCCAGTTCAAAGGTTTGTCTTTTGCATGCTGATCATGGAGAATTAAATGATGTATCACTCATTTTTTTTCTTTCACAGAATAATACTATAATTTTTTCAATATTGTTTCAATCATTTTCACATCAAACATCATTCGATTCCATGAAAAAAATGTTGCATCCCAGAGAATACGAAGAGGGATCCAAAAGAGATTAGGCGGCCTGTGCTGACGAATAACACCGCTATACCATGGAACCCGTATAATATATGGGTGCGATTCCTGTGGGACACGGTTTCCGCGTGAAATGAGCGTGTCGCTGATTATTTTCCTAGGCGTTGAGGAAGATCATCGGAACCCACATACATTGTAGGTATATCATATATACGCACAAGTAAATGTACGCCTTGCTTATTTGTTGCATACATCCTTGTCAAAGACTTGTATTTTGTTTGTTTTTAGAGACTTTCATCCATTTAGAGGTTATTGGCGGTAAATCTTGCCCCTGACTGATTTCTATCCTCATCAGGCTTCAAGAAAAAAGAAAATAAATGCAAGATCATTTGTAAGATTCAAAAGAAGGCAAAACAAAATATAACTGAACTCTCTCTACAACAAAGTTCAAGGGACCAGAAAAAAATTGTTCAAAAGAGAATTTCATTGTAGATGATAAGCCCTGTATAGCATGGAAAGAGAACCCTGTGGAACCAAAAAATATTTGTTACAAATAACGGATAAAATCATTTTAAAAAAGATTGTTGCAGACAAGAGAGACCACCTGCATAAAATTAATCTTAAAAATAAATCTTAATTCCTACAAGTATACAGCAGTGCGGGCTTTTATAGAGTACACATGGCAGACCTTTTTCATTTCAAATTTGGTTCATTATTGTGGCTACCAAAAATTGAGTCACATGTAAAGAATGTTTTCCACTCTTCAGCATGAAAATAAAATTCTGGACAACATTTTATGAATTTCAACAAGCTTTGAGTTTAAACTTCTGAACTTATTTATAAATCAAAAAAGGAAAATATTGGTCAAGAGAAAAAAAGACATTTTTCATTTTATCTCAGCCCCAAACGATTTTGAGTGTCAAAAATTTCAGAGCTTGTAATTGCATGAGAATTTGCATTTTATACCCTAATCAAGTGAAGTTAAATCTTTCCAGAATTTCAAGGGGTTCCAAACATTTTTTACTTGGGGAGTTTGCTTCATTTTGACGATTTAATGAATGTAAATTATGTTCTGCTGGTCAAATATTATAGCTGCATTCATAATTTTTAGATGCCCCACATACAAAATCCCTTGATGAGATCATACATATAACAAAACAATTTTGGCCATAATTTTGTTATTTCTTTATTTTGTGGACCAGTTTTTCTTTAACTTTCCCCAAATTCCATATTGGAAAGGGCTTAGAATTTTGACTAAGAAGGTTTCATCATCCAAAAAATTTTGAGTTAGGAATGTTCAAATATTTCATATTGGACGTGAGAGAATCAATCAGGGATCACCTGGAAATCAATTTGAGTGGTAAAGGTTCTTGGCTCAGAGAAGTTTGACTTGACAGAGTTCAAACACTTTTGTGGTGCCGGAAACACAAAGAACTTAGGAAATAAATCAACAGGGCAATCAGCCTTTACGAGGCCGGATCCTCCTTACAGGAGTCCCAAGAACAGTTCAGGTTCTACTCTCAATGCTCCAACAGTCAGGCAAATAATACAGAAACTTCAAAGAATAATCACAGACACAACAGGCCAAGAACCAAATCAGAACAACAATCAAACGCAACTGGGAACTCCTAGGGAGATGCTTCTTTCATCAGATGAAGTAAGCGAGTGACCATACTGGGCACCGCTGGCTTCCTCTACAACTTTGGATTGGACAACTTTCATAACCAGTTTTTGCAGCAGGTGAAATTCGGCTGAAGGTAGCAGGAGCTTCCATCCTGCCCTTCAGTAAATCTTGGTGCCAGGCACCGGTTTTTAGAATCCTTTGCAAATATGCTACAAGGGGCTCCAAAGTAGCCCCAGTGCGACCCGGCAACTGTATATGCATGAATAACTTGTTGAAATATGCAGCATATTTTATGATTTTAAAACTGGAGTGAAACCTTA